ACCGCCCCTACCTTACAGTGGCAGCATCAGCCCCTCCTTACCACGACTTTCCTCCAGCTGTTCTCTAGAACCTATTTTCCAGAAAAAGTCAAAGTGATCTTCCTAACCTTATACCTCTTTATGAATTACTAGCAAGACAGCGACCGGACCACAGGTCTCTGGATCTCTTAACACAAGCCCAACTAAAACAAGAGTTTATAAACTGCAGGGGGAAATGGCAACAACCTGGAAGCTAGAGAGGACATTATGAGACATTTCTGATAGATTCAGTGCAAATGGAGCCGGAATCAAAGCATCTAGGGCTGACATGAGATCTGCGCTATGCTCTCAAAAAGCAGTGCATGCTTGAGGGAAGCAGAGGAAATCCTAGCCCTGACAAATACCATTTTCTCTTTGGAGGAGAGAAGGGTGGATGGGAAAACAGGCCATGCTGCACATGGGAATTTCCCATTCCACCAGTGGGGAGCAGGGGTACTCGTGTTAGCTGCACATGGAGGTAGGGCCGAGGTATTTACATTCCTAAGTTTCCTCGTGATGCTGATGCCGATGGTCCCAAAACACACTCTGAGGACCACTGCAGTAGACCAAAATGAGAGTGCTAAAAACTTTCCATGTGGTTTTCATTAAAAAGTTCCCTTTTTGATAATCTCAATAGACAGAAAAAACATTTGAAAAGATTCAGTACCCTTTCATGATAAAAATTCTCAACAAACTAGGTATAGAAGGAATATAACTCAACATAATACAGATCACATATGGTAAGCCCATAGTTCACATCATACCTAATGATATGATGCTAAAAGCTTTCAGATTTTCACCATTCCCCTAAGATCAAGAATAAGACAAGGATGCCCACTCTCACCACCTCTACTGGTTCTGGAAGTCCTAGCCAGGGGAACTGGCAAGAAAAAGAAAGTAAAGGCATCCAAATTGGAAAGGAAGAAGTAAAGCTGTTTCTGTTTGCAGATGACATGCTCTTACACATAGAAACTCTAAAGATTCCAACAAAGAAATGTTAG